GTAAATAGACGTATTACATTGTAATAATACTACATTTACTCTGAGGATCATTTTTCATATATTAGGTCCTAGTCTAGCTACCATAAAAAATTACTACAAAGTGGGTAGATTAAAATGATGGAGGTTTATTCTCTCAAAATTCTGAGTACTAGAATTCCAGATTTAGGATGTCATGAAGGTAATGTTCTCTCTGAAGACTCTAGGGCAAGATCCTTCTTTATTTTCTTCCTCTTCTGGTAGCCCTAATCATTCTTCCATTTATAGCAGCCTGATTCTAGTCTCTGTCTGGCTGGTCATGACATTTTTTCCTGTGTGTCTTTTCTCTTCTTTTAATGAAGACCAAAGTCATTGGACCAGACTTTTTCTTCTCACTGCCACTCCAGTACAACATCCTGTTAACCAATTACTTCCATAAGACTGTTTTCAAATACGGTCCCATCCTTGAATAGTGGAGGTTAGGACTTCAACGTAGGTTTTTGTAGGTTACAATTCAATCCAAGTCTACATGGGAAAAATTATGCTTCATTAAAAAGATTTTCTTTTTTCCTATAGGCAAAGAAGATAGCTAAAGCTGGACAAGAATTTGCAAGAAATAACCTCATGGGTGATGACATATTTTGTTACTACTTCAAACTTTTCCAGGTAAGTATTTCCCAAGAATATAAACTTGTTGTATGTCCTTACAAGTACTTAGGAGCAAATAATGTGTAAGTTAATTTCTAAGACTATATTAATATATCTATGAATGAAAGATGTAAATATTAAATAGTAATTAAAAATATTATAAAGCAAAAATTAAATAATGGAGGATACCATTACATCAAATAAAATATAATATTAAACTACATGATATATAAGTGCTTTGATGATGCTGCTAACAAAGGCAAAGTATACTAGAAAGATATTTACTTGTGTTTAATTAACTATGCAAAGGCATTTAACTGTGTGGATAATAAGTATGGGAATTCCAGAACACTTAATTGTGTACATGCAAAGCCAACAAACCTTCATTCAGACAGAACAAGGGGCATACTGCATGATTTAAAATCGGGAAAGATGTGTCAGGGCTATATTTTTTCTTCATATTAATATTCAGTATGTATATTCACCAAATTCAGAAAGCTCAATGATATGAAGAATAAGTTACAGGATAGCATGAAGACTTGAGGTACTTACTGATGATGCTTAAAGACTATAGCCTTCAGACGGTGTGAAACACAATGTATACAAACTTTGTAAGCATGCCAGTATAAAATAAAAAAAATTTTAAAACTTTAAAAAATTACTATAGCCATCATTGTGAATTACACTTCAATATAAAGGAAACAAAATCTTCACAAATGGACCAATAAGTAACATTATGATAGACAGAGAAAAGATTGAAGTTATCAAGAATTGCTTCTGCTTGCATCCACCTTCTTCACCCACAGAAGCAGTAGTCAAGAAATCAGATTATGTATTGCATTGGGAAAATCTACTGTAAAAGATCTCTTTAAAGGACTAAAGAGGAAAGATATCACTTTGAAATACTAAGCTGTGATCCACGTATTGGAAATAATACCAACCATACCATTTTCAGTCTTGTATGATATGAAAGTTGGGGTGTGAACAAGGAAGACCAGAGGAAATGAATGCCTTTGAGTCATGGTTTTGGTGAAAAATATTGAGTATACCATGAACTTCCAAAAGACCATTCAGATCTGTCTTCCTCAAAGTGCAGCCTGACTGCTCCTTAAAAGCAAGAATGGTGAAATTTCGCCTCACATAATTTAGGCATGTTATAAGGATGGCCACCCCATGGAGAAGGACATCATAACTGATAGAGCATCAGTGAAAAAGAAAACAGCCTTCAACAAAATGGACTGGACTGGACAGTTGCTGCAACAATTGCCTCAACTAAAACAAAGATTGTAAAGATGGTGCAGGGCCAGGTAGGGTTTCTTTCTATTTTCAAGGAAGTTGGAAATAAAAGGTCAGAGGTTCAAATTCACCAGCCATACTGTGGGAGAAAGATGTGGCAGTTTGCTTCTATAAAGATTTATCACCGTGGAATTATATGGGCAGTTCTGCTCTGTCCTTTGGAATCAGAATTTACTTAACAACTATGGATGATGGTGTTTGTGTATGGTTTTGAAACTGACAATAATGATGAGTTACAGTTTGAGTTTTAACTCTGTAGAGATAGCAAACAAAGCATGTTTCACAACTTTAAGGCATTTTAAAATAGAATTTAATAGTAAAAAATATTATTAATAAGAGCACCAGATCTAGATAAAAATATTTTTAACTCAGAATTACAAATATTGAAATTATACCACAAGCTTTACTATAGGATAAAGTTGGTTTATTATCTACATTGGACTCTCTATTTTCTAACACTTCCTAAAAAGATGATAAAGGATCAATGATTAAAATCCACCAACCGCTTCCCTAGAACAAAATGAAGCTCTCACTGTTTCCAGCAATGCAAGGTCACCATAGGTTGGAATCATTTCAGTGGCAGTGAGAATGTTTTTTATCTATTAGGTAAGAGATGATAAGGAGGTGGAAACTGAGCCATGTAAATTGAAAGAACTTGGAGGAATTTCTAAGTTTCCAAAGTATAATGCTTTTTTATTATACTAATATATAATTGAACGTAAATATATAGCAGAGTCTAACACAAGGTAATCTCATAATAAATGAAAAAGGTGATTGATGCTTATGAAATCATTGTTGAAGGGTAAGTAGAAATTATCTCTGTCCTTAGGGCTTGCTAAGATTCTCAGTATTATAGGGAAATTTAGGAAGCTGTGTGCAGAGGTATATTCATTGCAAGGGAAAGGTAGTAAAAGCCATATGAGTCATATAAATTCAGGAAGGAATTTCTATTTCAGCTACAAATAGCAGTCAGTTTTTAAAAGCAAGTTGCCTCTTAGAAGCTCTATATTTAAAAGAGTGGAGGATTTTACATATCACAGACTTGACATATGTAAGTTAACTGGAACATATGCTAAGAAATTTCAGTCTATCTAATATGGTATATGCATAAGGCTTTGTATAAGGAATGCTCTGCTATTGCTTACACAGGAGTATGCCAGTTTACAAGTGACTGAGCCCCAAATCCGAGAGGGTATGAAGAGGGTAGAACCACAAACCGAGGATGACCTCTTTCCTTGTACTTGCCATAGAGAAAAGGTAACCAGATTTGACCTTCTGGTCAGTGTCCAAGTAAGGACACTGATATGATATATGATATGATATTCTCTTAGGAAGAAATGTTTATTCCTTGGCCCTCCAAGGAATTTAGTCTACCAGAGAGGCAGGTGTAATAGAGAATAACAAGGGAAAAGAAATGTTGCTGAAAAGCAGCTAATTGAGAAAACATAGTACTTTCCTGGCAAAATTAAAGCTTTTTTAAATGTGAGAATTTAGATTACATAACCTATGATCATATATATCATCTGTTATCCTTACCACTCTGAGGTTGGCTTTGTAAATTTCATTATCCCAATTTAAAAATATGATCAATGTAACTGTGATTGTTCGTTTTATCAGATTATTGTTTTCAGAGCAATCTCTGATGCTCTCATACATTATAGTTTAATTTATAAAGATAGATTCACAAATGTACTTGTACACACTAAAAGAACCTCAGAGATCATCTAGTAAATGCCTTTATTTTAAGAATTTAGCTTAAAATTACCTCATTGGATTATAGAAAACAGGAACTAAAAACAAGTTGTTGTCATCAGTTTGTATGGTTGTGTTTATTGTAGTTCTTTGAAGGAACATATATTTCATACTTCATTTTTTGTATGGAAAGATAGAGAGCCTTGATAACACTGTAAAGCACTTCACTATTTACCAAAATGTCAATGCCAGGCACTCTGAAGGAGAAAACTGTGATAGCCTGCCTTTATAAAAATTTACAGCTTTGAAAATCCTTTGAAATAGTTCTACTCTGTCCTAAAGGGCTGCTGAGTCAGAATTAACTCGGTGTCAGTGGATGTGATATTGAAGAATGTGTGTGTACATATACTTGAGATACATTTGTATATACTTGAGACACACAGAGATATATATATATATATATAATGTGTATATATATGTGTATATCTATGTGTATATATGTATATGGGGAGAAAAAGAGCGATCTGGCTGGACATTATTTTAAACAACATTATGTTTCTAAATGGACAAACACAAAACTATGGTATTGTAACCAAAGACGAAAAGCCTAATTTGACCTCTGATGGGGGCTGGAAGTCACCACTAACCCCAGTGCTGTATACAGCCAACTAGTATGCACTAATAATTATTAAATATTCCAGAATTTGACACGAGTTAAATTTTGGAAGCTTGGCTCAGCCTAGTGATAATATTCACTCCATGACTATGAGCAGAACTACCAATTAAGATGGGAAATCTGTATGAATGTGTTTGGAAAGCTGGTTTCCTACTGACTAGTGAGCCCTTAAAAATGGTACATCACTGCTCACCGTTATAAATACTACAAGGCCATAAAACCAGTTAAAGCCCGCATCAGAGCAAGAATTAACAAAATTTAAAGGTACTCCTTCTCCAACGTAGTTATTTGATATTAGGATATCTGAATTGGTTCCAAGGAAATGACACAAATTCCATTCTTGACCTTTTTTTTTTCATCTTTGTGTAAGTGATTTTTAGATGACAAATCAAAGAATGTACTGCTGATAGTAAAAGTTAGGGATCAGATCATAGTTTTGTTATATTGTCTACTCTAGCCTTTCATTGCTCTACTTAGAACATAAACCTCCTTATAATACATATAAGCCCTTAGATGTTTCAGTTTCCCATTAGCCACATGAAACAGAATATAATTTTACCCTTTGATGGTTTCAATCCTTTAGAAATAGTCCTAAATGGTAAATGCCTCTAGTGTCTTGGATGTTTTCCTTAAGACCCTCTGTGAGATGGATTGATTCGGTGACTGGGGTAATCGGGATGGGTGTGTCAGAGGCGGTGCGGTTGGCGCAGGATAGAGCAGGGTTTAGGGCTGTTGTGCATAGGGTCGCTATGAGTCGGAAACGACTCGACGGCACATAACAACAACAACAACAATAGAGAAGAATAATTAACAGGTAACTGTAGTAGCAATATAATAATTTATGACCCTGAATGTTTTGCTTCTTAATTGCAGACCAAAGATGAACTCTAATATGGAAAATATCTTCCATTCAAATCATGGTGCTCTGAAGACTCTTCTTAATGGAAAAGAAGAAAATTATTTTAAGATATTAATTTCATAACAATATAAAACCTAATTCAGATTTTGAAAATATGTATTTCATTATGCAGTATTCTCACACATTTACAATTTTATAATAAAATCATCTTTATTTTAAGGTTGTGTTTTGCTAATTATTAGCCATGTGTGGAACCAGAGCTAGTTGCTGTTGATTACAAATCAGATGGATCCTATAGGACAGAGATCTTCCCCATAGGGTATCCACACTGTAAATCTTTATGGAAGCAGATTGCCATATCTTCTCCCATGGAACAACTGGTAGGTTTAAACTGCCCACTTTTAGGTTGGCAGCCAATGGCTTATCCGCAGCATTGAATTGATGAATGACAACACTCCATAAAGTTTCCATGACTTATACATTTTAGTGGAAGTAGACTGCTTTATCTTTCTCCTTGAGAGGATCTGGTGGGTTCAAACTACCATCTTTTTGGTTAGCAGTTCCATACATAACCAAGTCTGTCAACAATTTGGACTTGAGAACATTGAAAAGAGGCAAAACCTGAGTCCTTAATGGTGTGGGCAGAACCTCATGCTCAGATAACCTCCCTAGACTTGGTTTACATGATAGCAATATACCCTGTTTCCTTTGTTTTTCTCAGCTGCCACTAAATCAACTTAGGTCAAATAGAACAAAGTGTTCCCCAGTCCTCTTCGTGATTGTTTAAATAACTGTTATTTTTTGATACTTCTTCATAGCCAAATCTGATTCTAACTAAATACATCACATAAGGTCTTTTCATAATCTGGCTCTGCCTACATCTTGACTCGTGTCCATCTCTCACTTTTTCCTGTAGTCCAGCAAAACACATTTTACACTTCTTTAAAATACTGTGTTTTCTCACCTGTCTTGTCTGTACTTTCATTTTGGTCTGGAAAGCCATCTCCCGGTCCCCATATTGCTTAGACATCTTTTGATGTTCATTTCATTCATTACCTCTTCTCAGTTTCTCTTGCTGCAGACTTGCCTTATTGTATCTGTCATGGTATATGGTAAGTATAGATTTGATTGTCTTACCTACCTACTTTAACAGATGTTATGTGACTATAGGAAGCATGTTTTTCTTTCATGCAGTCTTTGTTATTGTTACTAAGTGTCCTCAAGTCAAGTACAAATCATAAGCGACCCTGTGATCTGAAGCCTGTTCCTATAACTGTTGCAATGTATGTAGTTCTAAAGTCAAATCTGTGCCCAGAACTAGTTAGGACTCAATAAATATTAGTTAAATGAAGGAGCTCTGGTACATAGTGTGTTATATGTTGGGCTGCACCACTTGGCCAACTGACTGGAAGAGGTCAATATTTGTTCCTATCCCAAAGAAGGGCGACCCAACTGAGTGTGGAAACTACAGAACAATACTGATTTCACATGCAAGCAAGATTCTACTGAAGATTATCCAAAAACGACTGGAACAGTACATCAGCAGAGAACTGCCAGAAGTCCAGGCTGGGTTTAGAAGGGGTCGTGATACTAGGGATATTGTAGCTGATGTTAGATGGATCTTAGCTGAAAGCAGAGAATACCAGAAGAATGTCTATCTGTGTTTCATTGATTATGCAAAGGTATTTGACTGCGTGGATCATAACAAACTGTGGCTGACTCTGAGAAGAATGGGAATCCCAGAACATTTAATAGTGCTAATGCGAAACCTATACTTGGATCAAGAGGCAGTCGTCAAAACAGAACAGGGCAACACTGCATGGTTCAAAATTGGGAAGAGTGTACGTCAGGGATGTGTCCTGTCTCCATACCTTTTCAACCTGTATGCAGAGCAGATTATCCGAGAGGCGGGGCTCTATGAGGAGAGGTGTGGCGTTAGAATTGGTGGATGATCTATCAACAATCTGCGTTATGCAGATGACACAACCTTGCTCACTGAAACTGAGGAGGACCTCATGCACTTGCTGCAGAGGGTCAAGGACTGCAGCCTTCAATATGGACTGAGGTTCAATGTCAAGAAGACAAAAATTCTCACCACTGGACCAATCGGTAGCATCAGGATGGATGGTGAAGAGATTGAGATTGTTCACAGCTTCAGTTTGCTCGGCTCCACGGTCAACACTCTTGGTACCAGTAGCCAGGAAATAAAAAAACGTATGGCAATGGGAAAGTCTGCAGTTAGGGACCTCTCCAAAATACTCAAGAGCAACAGTGTCTCTCTGGAGACTAAGGTCCGCCTGATACAGGCCATGGTTTTTGCAATCACTTGTTATGCATCAGAGAGTTGGACAATGACTAGGGAGGATAGGAGAATTGACGCCTTTGAGCTGTGGTGCAGGAGAAGAGTATTGAATGTACCATGGACTGCCAAGAAAACAAACAGATTCATCATAGGATTAAACCAGGCTGCTCCTTGGAGGCAAGGATTCTGGGGCTTCGTCTGACATACTTTGGACATGTTGCCAGGAGGGACGGGCCTTGGAGAGGGACATCATGCTTGGTAGGGTGGAGGGACAGCGCAGGAGGGGAAGACCCTCTATGAGGTGGATTGATTCAGTGACTGGGGTAATCGGGATGGGTGTGTCAGAGGCAATGCGATTGGCACAGGATAGAGCACGGTTTAGGGCTGTTGTACATAGGGTCGCTATGAGTCGCAAACGACTCTCCGGCACATAACAACAACAACAGCAGCCTAAGTCGTTCAAATACATGAACTATTCCATGGTAGAAAAGGAGACAGTCAGCTCCTGTTAAAATTGACAGCCTTAGAAGGTCACCATAAAGTTTAATGGATCAGATAAGAATGGGCTGAATTTGGTTTGAGGAAGAACTAAACTAGAAAATTACATATTCATGGACAGGCAAAATCAATATTATATAATGATGTAAATTCCCTTCTAATAAGATTTCCAGGTTAAATATAATGTCCCCCAAAAGATAACACTCTTGTGGAGCTTCACAAATTTTTCTAAGAAAAAATTAATCTTGAAGAAGGATGACTTAGAAGGACTGACCCCTCTGTATATATAAGAAGACCTTTTTTACAGTATTTATTACTACCAAATATTCGTGCAGAGGTCAAAAAAGAAAAGACAAAAAGAACGATACCAAAATAATGATGGATAAGCCGACAAAAGCAAACATTGCAAATAGCATAGCGGCTATCTCCATGCATTTGTAATATAAACATCAGCGACTGAAGTAGCCAAGTTATTGTCTACGCTTCATGGATCTGATAAAGCATTCGGTGTTCAAACAAAAGATTGTTTTAAGTGTTTGGAGAACGTGTATCTAATTGTACACCCCCTTCTCTTTTCACTCTGAGAATGATGTCCATTCATCACGAGGGCACTCCCACAAAAGGCCCAAGTATTCCTTGGACTACGGTGACGTGTTCCCAAAGTAGGGATTCTCTAATGAGCATTGCCTTTTGTGATAATAAATGAAAGTTAAGTGTTGACAGGAGTCCATAATGTATCCCTGCCATTCAAGTAAGTACTCATAAGAGGAGGCTCATCCTAGTTCCCTTTTCTAGGGAACGGAGAACAAATAGTCTCACCGGAATTGGCGGGAATTCTGGCGCGCCGAAAAGAGGCGGGTTCCAAGACTTCCATTCCCGGCATGTCCCGCGGCCCGGTTAGCGCGCCCGGGGGGCGGAGCCCTGACGCGCGTGCGCCGTGGGGGGACGCGCTGGCGGGTGCGGCGAGGCGGTCGCTTCGAGCTTGCTAGTTTGCTCCCAGAAGGGAGTGAGGGCGGTTGGGTGCAGCCGGGCACTTTTTTTTTTTCCTTTCCCTGGTAAGTGCCGCAGTGACGGTGGAGGAAGCTCGCTTGGGAAATGGCTTCCTGAGGTAGTGGTGGTGCGCCTGCCGGCCCCGCCTCGGGGCGTTTCAGGCTCACGTTTCTCGCCCCTCGGGGGCTGTTGGTCCGGTTCCCTGAGGCGTTCCGTGTAAGTTTGGTGCCTGTGGGCTTTGCGAATTAGGAGGGCGGGGTGTGGGAGGAGTTTTGGACTGGAGAGCTCGGCAGGTTCAGCGCTGATCACCATGTTCAGTGTAGCCCTCTGTTAGTGGTCGCAGTCTCCTAGATTTCGGAGGTTCGCTCTCGGGCCCCTCTGGAACGACCTGCAGCCCAGCTCCATCGCTCAGCGTTTAACTCATGGACGGAAGAGTGGATAAATAGGATTCGTAAGTGACATTTCACCCCAAACTTGTGTGAGACAGCATTTTGATATTTGCCTTTTATTGATGGTTGTTTACCCGACCAGATCATAGACTCCCTGGAAAAGGGGAATTCAATCTGTTTGCCCCGTAGCGTCCAGCGCCCTCATGTAAGTGTAGGATGTGTATGATACACAAACATGTTTGAACGTTGAAATGGAATTTTTATTCTTTAGCTTGGCATTTACTCTGCTCAGAGCCTGAGAAGTAGTAAAAATAATGCGCACAGGGTGTGGGCATTGTACCAAGTGCAGTGCATGTGTTACTTCCTTCTCACAGTATCTCTATCTTGGTAATGTTTATTTGCCGCTAAAGACCTTGGGGCTGAGCCAGGTTTGCCTAAAAGTCAGAGATTATAACCCGGATTGTGTAGACCAGATTGTTTTTGAGATCAGATAATAAAACCATTTGGGTGTTTGCGAAGTCGTCCAGAACGTGTGGAAGAAACCACTTTGGAAGAAGCAGATGGTCATCGTGAAGTCTAGATTGGGGGTAGGGAGGGGGGGAGTGGTGGTCAATACTTGTGTTGTTAAGGAGAAATAGAAGGAGGATTGCAGGCTCAAATAATGGATGCATCGCATTTTCCTCCTTAAAAATCTCAACTACAGTTAATTACTGTAAAGTCATTTTTTTTAAAAAGGCATATGTCTATAAAGACAGAGTAAAGGGACAACCCTAAAATACTGGGCCCCAGAAAGCAAATGCCTTTTAATCTTAATCTAAAATCACCAGTGAGAAAGAATGCTGTGGAACCATTTTCTAGAAACGAGAGAATCTTCCTAATGCACAGATTCTAGCAGCACTAGACTCCTGTGGACTAGGAAGAAAGGTAGGAGTGCTGCTGAAAAAGTGTTAGGGGGCATTTGATAAAGGATAGCTAGCCGAAAAATTCTGTTTGAGAAACACTGAGATATCTAGATTCCATATCCCATTTCTTGGGTGCCACCCTTTCCCTTTGTTAGAAGTTGAAGTTTATTGTTTTGATAACGTAAGCCTTCTTGATTCTGTATCATGGTGACCTTCCATCTGGTCTTCATGATTATTACTCTTTAGCCTGTGAGACTGCCACTCTTTCTTCCACAGAGCAGCTGATAGAGTCCATCTGCTGTCTCATAGCTCTCTGCAACACCACAGCCTCTCAGGAAAGTAAGAACTGGGGAATGAACTACAGGCGCAGTTACTCGTGGGGCCCCTCAGCACAGCAGGTTGTGTTGGACTAACCAAAAAGTTGGTAGATCAAACCCACCTGATGCTGAATGGAAGATGGGTTCGATCTGAGGTACAGTCTACTCGATGGCAGTGAGTTGCAGGTTTAAGAAAACAGAGATTATACTTCTTTATCTGACTTCTTTCAACTCGCTTGGAAGTGTTTTCTAGCCAGACTACTACCATCTGGTCTCCAATAAGAGAATTGCTGTACTCACAAACCCAGTACTTTCTCTGTAATATGTTGTATAAAATCTGGGAACACTTTAGTTAGCAAACAATGAAAACTCAGAATTAGGTTCCTGCAAGTGTCTGGTCACAGGTTCATCAACTGATCAGAACAACTTTGAGGGTGTCGGTGTGTGAGTATGAAGGATGTGTAAAGACTTCACACAGTGAAGTTTTCTATTGATTCATTAATATTAAATTCATGTCCAGTAGTGCTGTACCTGATGCCTGAATGAAACTCAATACTTTCTTGGTAAGGCACATCACAGCCTTCTTAGACAGTTAGGAACACTGGTCAGAGCTGTGGTTGGAGGCCACTGTGAAAACCAAAATTGCCAACAAAACATGATGGGATACTGTGGAAGAATCTTAAGTTATAATGGTTGGAGGCCAACTTGAAAACCAAAATTGCCAACAAAACATGACTGGATACTGTGAAAGAACCTTAGGTTATAGAGCTGATCCAAGAGGGCAGAGCGTTTAGTCTTAGCTAGAATTATGTACATAAAGCAACTCATTTGCCACTCTACATGTTTTATATGATCTCAGAAACATCACAAGCATCAATTTGGGGATTATAAATAAATTAAGCAAGTAAGTACATTCACAAATACAGAATCTACACATAATGAAGATTATACATGAAATGATATATATATAATAGGTCGCTCCCAATGTTTGCTTCCAGTTACAGAGAGCTGCTCTGCACACAAAAAGATGACCTGTCTTTTCTGAAAAACCTCTGGAGGGTCAACTGTGGGTCAGTTCAGACTTGATAGCAAACAACAACCATTGTTGCTTCTGGGGATAGAAAAGTACTGAGTAGCTAAGGGAAAACTTGTAGTGAGGAAATTTTTCATTGTTAGCATTTTTGTTTTAAATGTTTATACTGTGTGCCCTGATGACTTGTTGGATAAAAAGTTGTACTGCCAACCCAAAGACACATAGTTTCAGTCCATCCGCTGCTCTGAAGAAGCAAGATAGGACATCTTCCATGTGATTTACAGCCTCTGAAATACTCACTGGAGGGCCATCTCTTGAGTTGTTGCTTACTAGCATGTAACAACGGCAGCAACATGTATGTTAACTTTTCTAAAAGTGAATATTCCTTAAAAATAATTGTAAATTAATATACCCTTTGGCCCTCTTTTTATCTTTTACGGGATAATAGCATAATTGAATAAGGCTTAGTTTTCTAAAACAAAGTATGGAAATAATTGTATGAAACAGTGTGAATGAAGGAAAGTTTCAAACACAATGTACATCAATTTTGTGTGCAAATCAATAGAAAAAAACTGAACTTCTTTTAAAACAAGAATTTACCTTGTAACTATCCATGTTTGAGCTAAAGTAGGTATAATGCCATTCATTATAATGTTGTTATAGCAAAATATGCCAACTCACTCAGTGTTCGTTTTTACATGGTCAAATAAATCATGTATACCTCTTACAAGAAGCACACTGCAGCCATAAAATTTTCAAAACAAAACCAAAATTCATTGTGTACAGTTAGTTATGAGTCACTCTCAAGATTTCTGAGAGGAATGAAGGTTCTGAAAAATGTACTACTTGTTTATAAATATGAAAATAAATAGATTGTACTCCATATTCTTGGTAGCTTTTGAACCAAATCATTGTCAGCTTTGGAATCAAATGATTGTCATCCATTTACTAAGTTTTAATAAGGAAAAACACCAAGATGCATAGTATAGATCATGATAATTGATGATAAACTGAACCAAAACCACTGCTGTTGATTTCAATTTGATAGGAAAAGTCTATTTCCAAGGTTATACATTTTTATAAGAGGAGACTGCCCACCCTTCCACAGAATGATTTAAACTACCAGACTTTTGACTTGCAGCAAACATACTGTATACTTTGCCACCAGCACTTTAAAAAATATGGCTTATAGATAAAATAAATCATCATCAACAATAAGAACAAATCTTACTCAGGTTTCTGCTGTTTTACTGTATTACAGTACTAAATTTTCAGTGGCTTACAGGATTTTATGGTTCCTTGTTCTTCAGATCAGTTGTAGTTTAACCAATCTTGACGAGCTTGGGTTCATATATGTTCCCACTATTTTTCTTTCTGAGTCAACGTGAAAAAGCAAAGCAACCTGAGGTGTCCTTTTCTCATGGTAAAGAGTAAATGTTGAAGAGAACTGGTAAAAATTTGCCATCTCTGAAGTGGCCCATTGAAATGTCTACCTATATTCAATTGGTCAAAGTAAGTCTCAAAGATTTCCATGCCATGGTGTCACATTTGCTTTATCTAATATATAGCATCCATCAACTCCATCTCTATACCTGTAATCCAAGTATACATAAAGACAGTTTTTAGAGAATTAGTTCTAAATATGTTTCTTTCAGCTACCAACAGTGTTCATTCATAATTTTTGTTTCTTACCTATATCAACCCATTTTTCACCACAGAATCTTCTTTTCAGGGAGAAGTCCTTTGCTTCTCAGCTGTAATGCACTTTTAAGTTTGTTATTCAACAGTGAAAATGAGTCATACGGAGGTAATATTTTGCTATGTTCTCCCCCACTTTGTTTTTTGGATAACCATATGACTCCAGAGTAATTTTTTTTTATTTTTAATTTTAACTGTGGAAGTAATATGGTAATATTACACAGGATGAGGACTGTGGATAGCCTGAGTTTGACACTTAACCCAGTAGTTATGTAATCTTGAGCAAATTACTTAACATAAGTATTCATTTTCTCATCTGTAAAATGGAGTAAATAATAGTATGTTTTCCTCAAAGGATTATTCAAAGTCTAGATTAATTAATAGCAAACAGTTGTGCCTGGCATACATACAGTAAGCACTCCTTAAATAAGAGCTCTTATTAATACTGGTTGTTATTTAGAGGTTATAATTTAAATCATTAAGTTCATAGTGCAAACTAATTTGTGAGAATAGGCAAGGAAGTCATTATTGATCACTGACCCCTTTATTCTCTTGAATTCCAGGTTAAATTAAAAATACCTTTTGGAAATAAATTGCTAGATGCGGTTTGTTTGGTACCTAACAAGAGCTTAACATATGGAGTAATTCTTACACATGGAGCATCAGGAGATATGAATCTTCCTCATTTGATGTCACTGGCATCCCATCTTGCATCTCATGGGTTTTTTTGCTTGAGATTTACCTGTAAAGGCCTTAATATTGTGCATAGAATTAAGGCTTATAAATCAGTTTTGGTAAGAAAATTTACAGAATTATACTTAATAAATTTAAGTTGTATTTAGCAGTTTCTTAATTTAGTTTAAACATCCTTTCATAAGTATCTTTAGAAAGAAAGTCAACAGCACAAGAGGGCTGATTTATGGTCAGATCCCTTTTTTGGTATCAATTGATCCCTCTGGTATCAGTTAATTCTGTGATGATAACATGGTAACATCATAACTGTTACTTCCATGCTATTACCAGGTAAGCTATTTGTAATACAATTTTCTTAGTAGCATGATTATGATTTTAAAATATATTTCTGGCATTCTAGAATATTTTATCCACTGCATTATGCATGTACAAATATAGTACTGTTTTCTGAATATGTCAGATACATAGTTTGAAATTTATGGATAAAAGCTGGTTTCTTTTACTCTAAATTCTTTGAAGCTTGCTAAGTTTTTAGAGCTTTTACTAATTATTTTTACTAACTAGATGATACATAAGGAATCCTGGGGATACTGTAATTGTATATTTGACTATTAACCAAAAAGTAAGCAGTTTAAAACTCCAGATGGAACCACTGGAGAAAATACTTGGCAGTCCACTTTTGTGAAGACAGTTCTACTGTCATACCTGTTATGGCATACAACAAATATTTTACAAATTAGATATCAGTAACATTTAGTTGGAAACCTTTACTCAAATTCAGTTTATTCATATATACACACTCAAGTATTCATACTTTAAAAATAGTTTAATACTTGAATACTTTTATAAAGAAATGCTCCTCATATAATTGCTTATACAGCGTGGGAGAGGAATACCCCAGATGAGATGGATTAATACAGTAACTGGGACAATGAGATTTGGTGTTTCAGAATTAGTGACACTGGCTCAGGACAGGGAAGGGTTCACAGCTACTGTACATAGGGTCACTATACATCATAGGCAACTCAACAGCACATAACAACAGTAACATACTATGACAGGTTTGGAAGCAGGAGTGGTATTCACCTCCTAAAGAACATGCTTCCAGAAACTCAATGAACTTTGATAAATGTCTATAGTTGTAGAGGGGCTTCAGGCCTTTTGTTCATAGGGTCACTATGAGTTCTGCATGACTCAAAGACAACAGCAGCAACCCAGCATATGGCTTGATAGTAAAAGCATGATTATAAGAAGAAAGAGTTGCTCATTGTAGAAGAAATTAGGTAGTTGCAAGAGAGGCGGGATAGTGCACAGTGAGCAATGTTAAAATTTTGTAGGTATCTGCATAGGTTTTTATAAATTTCAGTGAGGATAAAAATTAATGTGTGGAAAAGCTTATGGAAGAAGAAATGATCTTTGTTGTTGATTTTCTAGAATTACCTAAGGACTTCAGGGGAATACAAACTTGCAGGTGTCTTTCTTGGAGGTAAGTTGGAATACTTAAGAACATTTTTAAAATTTACTTTTTTCTTTGTAGAAATGGATAATTTGAGAATTAAAACTAATTGTTAAGTGGAAGCTAATTTGAGGATTATTTTTTATTTTGGTAAATCACTTTCTCAGCATTGAAATATTTAGGCTTCATAAATATTTACTGAAACCTAGGAATTTTCCCTTTTATTTATAATTCTGATCACTTATTTTGCTGATTTTTTATAAGCCTCAACTGTTGAAGCATTGTTCTGAAAAGTAATAGCTACTGTTAATTTTATTTGGTTTTTGATCATTTTTTAGCTCTTCATGAGGTACTAGGTTTCGGTTGTGGATATTGTAACTTGTTAATTGCTACATTTTTAGACTACAGTTTTTACTGATTTATTAATCTGTAAAAATGATATGATGAACATGAAATGAAAGCTAACCACCCCTAATTTATGAGAATGTTTGTTTCAAATTCAATTTAAATTTAATTGATTTTAGGTCGTTCAATGGGTTCAAGAGCAGCTGCTTCTGTAATGTGTCATGTTGAGCCAGATGATGCTGATGATTTCGTTCGAGGTCTCATTTGTATTTCTTACCCGCTGCACCATCCAAAGCAACAGCATAAACTCAGGGATGAAGATCTCTTTCGTATAAAAGATCCTGTACTGTTTGTGTCAGGCTCAGCAGATGAAATGTGTGAAAAGGTGAATTACAATTTAGTTCATGTATGATGAAAGAGGTATCACAGGAGTAAAAGGTACTGCAAATAACATTAGGTTACTTGAATGCTAGTTTTGTACTTTTGTTACCCTTTTGAGAGAACTTCAAAATATAAGTATAATGACTACATTCACTTCCCAAGAGACTTGTTAATGACTAAATTCACTTCCCAAGAGAGTTGATAAATTTCAAACCGGAAAAATGTTTGAATCTTCTGATTTAGGAATTAGTTAGGTTTTCTATTTCAATATTCAGGCAAATAATTCAATTCATTGTAAAGTTGAATCTTGAGAAAGTGATTTATCACAAGTACTAGCTTGATGTTATAGAACATACATATTTACCAGAGCTGCTATTTTCCTTAAGGAAAATACTTTTTTTGAAGACTTTGTTTTTGTTCAAGTTTACTTAATAATTTTTTTATCATCAGTAATAGTATGTTCTGTGGAATTACTATGTGTGAGAGAAGTGAACCACTATTTCTGTGGACATTTCTTTGTGCCTAGAAACTTGTACCATAGATATAAGAAATAGTTGGTAAAATGAGTACTGCTGTAGGTAAAGGAGAGAGAATCTATTTTTATTAAACACCAGTAGAGCAATAGTCTAGTATCCTCTTCTTTTTCTCTTTAGAACTTGTTGGAGAAAGTGGCACAGAAAATGCAAGCTCCTAATAAAATCCACTGGATTGAGAAGGCAAATCATTCCATGGCAGTGAAAGGACGGTCAACAAATGACGTTTTCAAAGAAATAAATACCCAAATTCTGTTTTGGATCCAAGAAATCACTGAAATGGACAAGAAATAGTTGTCATTTGTTAAAAAGCCATATTGTTTTGAATCCAAAAAACAGTTGTTTTGATAAAGAATAGCTTAACTCTCAGCATTATGAGATCTCTTTCAGACTAACTTCATGTTCTTTAATGTTGCCCTTTTAAAGAAACGTTTCAATTGTAAAATTAATGTCTTTTAAAAATTTTCTTTTGAAAGCATTGTTATAGTTGTATAAAGATGTTGTACAAATATTGAAGGTGGTCTAAATATAATTTATTTTCATTAGTATAGTTGAGTTTTGAAAAATATTAAACTTTTAGATTTTGCTACATTGACTGTGATAGTTTTTGTTGTGTTTTATGTTTTTCCCCCCCTTGTATACTGTTGAGTCGGATTCAGCTGGCACAGGAGGAGATTGACCCTCCTCCAGCAGAGCATGTGGTGGATGCGAACTGTGCTATGTTGGCTTTATTTGTTGATATGAAATACCCTTATTTCATGGAACAATATGTTGAAGAAAGGAAAATATTTTAGTCTATCAATTTTATGTACTGTTTACATCTGTTCTAATCACAGAAAAGGAGATTTACAAGGATGTGTTCCTTAAACATTGTTTTTAGAAAAATAGAGCCATTTTTATCCCAGAAATGTTTGCTGAAAGCCTGTTAGTGGCCTTGTCTTCAAAAATTGGAGCAAATTGTAGGATGGCACAGTATTAGGAAAGGTTTCAGGTTTTGTGTAAGGGTTACTATGAGTCAGAGCTGACGCAAGGACACCCAAAAGCCTTAGGTTTCCAAACCAATACAGTGGTGTTTTTCAGTCAGGGACTTTTGTCTCCTTGGGGATAGTTGATGTTAGGAAATGTTTTTGGTTGTCGTGACTGTTGGGGAGATTGGTGCTATTGCCATATCAGAGGAAAAGATGCTGCCACTTATCTTACAATGTACAGCTCACCATAAAGAATTGTCCTGCTCAAAATGTTAATAGTGCTAAGATTGGAAAACTAGCCTATACAAAAAAAAACACAAAACACCTTTGACATTATCTTTAGATCTTTTCTCATTTTAGAGAAAGTATTATCTGTCATTCTATTCCAGCCATTATTTGCTTGCTTTAGTTGCCAAAACCTGGGTTTAACATCTCTATCTTGATTTGGTTTACACTACTGTCTCTCAACTCAGACTGTTAATCAGTTTTCTTCTATAGTAACCCAAAGTACAGCCAAACTTATTACCATCAAGTGAAACTCATAATATTTCTATAGGGCAAATTCATACTGCCCCACATGTTTCCAAGGTTGTAAAATTAATATTCTTGTTTTGTTGAAGGGGTGGCGTGACAGTATTTGCATTGCCAACATAAACCTGAGTGGTTTGAATCTACCAGCTTACCAGTTTTTCTGAGGGAGAAAGACGAGCATTTTCCTGTGCAATTTACTGCCTCTGAAAGCCCTCTGGAGGGTCAGATATGAGTCCGTTCCAACTTGACAGCAAAGAACAGTAGTGTTGTTAGGTGCTACTCAGTGGCAATATATTTTATTGTGATTTGAATGAAGGTTTATAAACCATACACTTCACACATTTTTTGCATTCTTCCTGGATGATATTCTTGGTATCTTCCCACAGCTCAGCTGGTCTTTGCTCATTAGTGTTCAGGACCTCAAACCTGTTCCTGAGCTGGTTTTGAAATTCAAGTGGGATAAACTCAAGGTCAAATTTTGGTTTCCATGGATTTGATTTCATTTTCTTCAGCTTGAACTTGTATATGAGTAGTTGGCAGTCTTTCACAAACAGCACCTGACCTGGTTCACAGCTGATATTGAGCTGCTCGAGCAATTCCTTCCACAGATGTAATTGATCTGATTTCTATGCATACTATCAGGTAAAGTCCATGTATATAGCCTGTGTTTGTTTCTTATAAAATGTATTTGAAATGAATAAGTCATTGATTGTGCAAAATTCTATCATTCTGTCTTCAGCTTCATTTCTGTCACCAAGTCCATGTTTTCCAACTCCTTGATCTTTCTACTCTGTTCCCAACTTTTGTATTCCAGTAACCAGTTATTATTAATGCATTTTGATTGCATGTTTGACTAATCTCTGACTGCAAAAGTAGAAATCTGTTTCCTCCTCTGGCTCTGGTTGTTGGTGCATATATTTGAATGATGGTGATATTCACCAGACTTCCTTGTATGCATATGGATTTTACCCTGACACTCACAACAAGGCCCCAGAAATTGATGGCTTACCAATTGACATATTTCAACAAATAGACCCTGCTCTGGATGTGCTCATCAAGTTGTGACAAGAAATCTGGAAGATAAGCACCTGGCCAACTGTAAGAAATCTGTATTCCCATTCTGAAGAAAGGTGATTTGACAGAGTGCAGAAATTATCGAACAATATCATTGATAGCACATGCAGGCAAGATTCTGCGGAAAATTATCCAAAATGACTGGAACAGCACATCAACAGAGAATTGCCAGATGTGCAGGCTGGGTTTAGAAGAGGCCATGGTACAAGGGATATAATAGCTAATGTCAGATGGATCTGGGTTGAAAGCGGAACATACCAGAGGAATGTCTATCTGTGTTTCATTAGAACACTTGATTGTGCTTATGCAAAACCTATACTTGGATCAGGAGGCAGTCATCAGAACAGCAAGGAAATACTGCATGGTTCAAAACTGGGAAGGGTATGCATCAAGGATGTGTCCTATCTCCATATCTTTTCTATCTATATGCGGAACAGATTACCCGAGAGGCTGGGCTCTGAGGAGAAATGTGGCATCAGGATTGGAGGTAGACTCATCAACAAGTGCATTATGCAAATGACAAAACCCTGTTGCTGAAACTGAGGAGAACCTGAAGTGCTAGCTGCAGAACTTCAAGGACTACAGCCTGATATATGGATTGAAGCTCAACATCAAGAAAACGAAGATTCGCACCACTGGGCTGATTGGCAGCATCATGATAGATGGTGAAGAAACAGAGATTGTTGACAGCTTCAGTTCTGTTACCTATACAATCAACACTCTTGGTACCATCAGTCAGGAAATTAAAGACAAATTGCATTGGGAAAGTCTGGTGTGAGAGACCTCTCCAAAGTACTGAAGACCAATGAGGTCAGTCTGGAGACTAAAGTGCTTTATACAGGCCATGTTCTTTGCAATTACTTGCCATGCATCAAAAAGCTGGACAATGACTAGGGATGACAGAAAGTGAATTGATGCCTTTGGGCTGTGATGCTGGAGTATTGAATATACCATGGACTGCTAGCAGAACAAACAAGTCCGTCCTAGAGAAGGTGAAGCTAGGCTATTCCTTAGAGACAAGGATTCTGAAGCTTTGTCTGGCATACTTTGGACATGTTGCATGGCGGGATCAGTCTGTGGAGAAAGACATCATGCTTGGGAGGGAAGACGGACAACACAAGAGAGGAAGACCTTCAATGAGATGGATTGATTCAATGACTGGGGTTATGGGATTAGGTGTTATCAGAGACAATAAAATTGGTACAGGACAGAGCAGGGTGTCACTGAGTCGCAGGTGACTCGATGGCACATAACAACAACAAAAACCTAAACCAAGAAGCTGTTTGAACAGAGCAAGGGAACACTGGTTTGAAATCAAGAGAGATGTGCATCCTTTCTCCATACCTATTCAATCTATATGCTGAACAAATCATTAGAGAGACTGGACTTAATGAAGAAGAATATAGCATGAAGATTGGTGGAAGATTCACCAACAACTTGCATTATGCAAGTGGCAGAAAGCTTGATGAAAACGAGGAGGACTTGAAATACTTGCTGCAGAAGATCAATGACTACAGCCTTCCATAAAGATTACATCTTCAAGATAATAAAGATCCTCACTATTGGCAAATAGGCAACATCACGATAGTTGATCAACACCCATGGTAACAACAGTCAAGAAATCAAAAGATGTGTTGTATTGGGGAACCTCTCCCAAAGTGCTGAAGAGCAGTTTGAAGACGAAGGTGCATCTGATTCAAGCCATCATCTTTTCATTTACTTGCTATGCATCTGAGAGTTGCACAATCAGTAAGGATGACAAGAATAATTGATGCTTTTGAATTTGATGGAGAAGAGTAGACTGCCAAGAGAACAAACAAGTGTTGGAGGTAGTGCAACCAGGTGCTCCTTGTAGCCAGGATGGTGAAACTTCCTTCGTCTCACATACTTTTGGTCATGTTGTTAGGAGGAACTGGTTCATGGAAAAAGTCTTGGAAAGGTGAAGAGTCACTGAAAAAGAGAGACCTTCAAGGTGAATTGTCACAGTGAACTAACTCTGAGCCCAAGTATAACAGATGGAGATGGCACAGGGATAAGGCAAAGTTCAGATCTGGTTTCATAGAGTCATTATTAGAGTTTACTAAATGGCACCTAACAATAATTATATATTAATTTTCAGATATATTGTTGCCAAATGTTTTTCCCAGCCTGTAGATTCACTTCTACTCTTTGAGAAATGTTTTGATACACATAAGAATTTAATTTTTATAGCATCTCAAGTTTGTTCCTAGGTTGATTGTGCATTTTTAAATACATTTGATAAGACTTGTTGTTGTATACTACCGAGTCAAAATCGATTCAGTTGTCCCTCCAGTAGATTTTCAGAGGCAGTTTAATCACAACCACTGTAGGAGGTTGCCCATCTTTCTTCCATGGAGCAGCTGGTGGATTCAAACTGTGTGCCTTTGGCTTCACAGCACAGCTCCTTACCACCAGAGATTCCTATGCCATAGATAGGGCTTCTAAATTGGTCCTTATTTTTCTTTGATGATCTTTATAGTTTTAGGTTCCATCTAGGTCCTTCATCCATCTTTGTGGTTTGTTTTTTTTGTTGTTTTGTTTTTTAATATGGTGTGAGATGATGGATTTTTTTTTCCACTTTCTGCAAGTATCTAATTCTGCCAGCAAAATTTATAAAAGACTATTGCCCATTTAGTGGCTTTTCTCTCTGTCAAATATCATCTATCCATACATGAATGGATTTATTTTTACATTCTTTTTTCTGTTTCATGATTGGAATAAGGTTATTCTACTTCATGAATGGAGGAATACTCATCAATAATCTTCATTATACAGATGATACAACCTTGTTTGCTGGAAGTGAGGAGGAAAGTGTTTGCAGAAGATCAAAGACCACAGCCATCAATATGGATTGTATCTCAATGTCAAGAAAACAACAGTTCTCACACTGGACTGACCAGCAGCATCACTGATGGAGGAAAGAGTGAAACCATCAATGACTTCATCTTACTTGAATCCACAATCGATATACTTGGTACCACCAGTCAGGAGA